CAATTTGAAGTTCTCATACAAGAATAATGCAACCTGTCAGTCAGCAGCCTTTTGAACACTTGTAACTAATTGATGTTCACCCTTCCAGGCATCAAATGCAATTACTGTGCCACTCAGAGTACAATTTAACTTGGAGTTGACATATTGAATGCAGAGAGAATCACAAACAGTAAAAGCATGAAGTCCACTTAGAGGGGAAGTGCTTCCACCCACAAATCTATTTAATTTGAAACCTTAGGCAAGTGTGATTTAAAGTTCTCATTACTCTTTTTTTTTTAGAAAAATGAGCAAAAACAATAAATAGGTAATATTATAGTCATTCCCTCCAAACTACAGAATGAATTTACTGAAGTATAGCCTATTGATGTCATATAGAAACATTCAAAAAGTATGTGATTATTATGTCTTAAAAATATTCAATCATAATTTCTTTTATAGCTTTATATGTGTACACACATCTGTAGATATACATATGAATATAAATATAACAGAAAATTTTTCTTCTTGATACACCCAATTAGCACTTATATTTACTCTGGTAGATATAGGCTTATTGTTCAATAATCCAACTTCCTTTTCTTCTGGGTACATGGCTAGAGTTCATTTCACAGACTGTATAAGAATTAGAAATGTCCATTTGATTGATGTCTATGCTGAAGAGAGTAGAGTCTCTATCAGTTTGGATTCATGAATGACCATATGACCATTTGGAGCAGAAATCCTCTCTACTGAATATACTACACAAATTTATTCTCCCACAAACCCACAACACACTCATCCCACCGTTCACCCTCAACACACAAACTGCCCATTAGAATTCATTTGTGTAAGGAGACTTCATTGTGTTCCACTTCTGAAACTTCAAAATTTACTTGTAGTACAGATACTAGGACTTTCTTCTTATATAAAACAAACATGCATCTGAGAACAACATGGATAAAGCTCAAGAAGTTATCTTATTAGTTGTCCCTAATCTTACTTCCTTCCCACCCCATCCATATAAAGTATATATATGATATAATATGCAAATTGCCCATCACTCCAACACACAAGATGGTTGCCCCCATTTGGTCAAAGATGGACACCTTCATGTGGAAATAAGATGGCCACCACAAGATGGCTAGTAGGGGAGGGCAGTTGTGGGTAACCAGGCCTGCAGGGGAGGGTAGTTGGGAGGTACCAGGCCTTAAAGGAAGGGCAGTTGGGGGAAACCAGGCCTTCAGGGGAGGACAGTTAGGGGCAATTGAGCTGGCAGGGGAGTAGTTAGTGGGTGATCAGGCTTGTAAGCAGAAGCAGTTAGGGACAATCTGGCAGGCAGGCAGGAGAGCGGTTGGGAGCCAGCAGTTCTGGATTGTAAGAGGGATGTTCAACTGCCCATTTAGGCCCAATCTTGAGATTGGGCCTAAATGGGCAGTCAGATATCCCTCAAGGGGTCCCAGATTGGAGAGGTTACAGGCTGGGCTGAGGGACACCCCTCTATGCACAAATTTCATGCACCAGGCCTCTATATATATAAGATTTGTGCAAGGATAGGCCTTCCTTCCTCTGCTGCTGGCAACAGTTTACCTCTGCCACCCAGGACCCAGGCCTTCATCTTTGTTGTGTTAATTTGCATATTCTCTCCTTATTGGCTGTGCATGCTCCCATCTTTATCATGAATTGATGGTCAATTTGCATATTCCATCTTTATTAGATAGAATATATGTGTGTAAAGAAGAATGTGAACAAGGGCTACGAAGAAATAAGATTAGAAATATTACAAAGAAGGGAAATGTGTGAGTCCCAAGTGGCTTGATCTAACCCAGTAGGTAGCTAGGGGAAGTCTATATGTCCCAAAGCTCAATAAAGCTGTTGTTATCACTAGACTCTTAATTTAGAGGCCATCCTCTGTAGCTAATACTCATGCTGCTTTCACTCCGACACTCATCTGTCCAGTCTGGGTAGCTGTTCATCAAATCCACTTCACCTACCACATAGCAATAGGCCTACTTCCACAAGAGATACTTGAACTTCAATGACTGGCTTTTCACTCTTTATATCCCATTATTGACATTTGTCTTGATTATAGTAACATTTCTGTGAGAAAAAAAATTAAAGTTCAATAGTTTTTAAACCTCTTAGACCTGGTTTTCCATTTTTCCTTTGAGACAGTTCATTTTTTTATGCCTCTTAATATGATAAAGTGGTGACTCAAGCAATTATTAGGAGCCTTCTAATTTCTGGTATGATGTTTGGCATTGGGGATATTGGGAAATAGGCACATCTCCCTGTGGGAAGTTCTCAGTCTTTTAAAAGCAGCCAGATACAAAAACAATTCCTCCCAGTACTGCATAATGAGTGCTATAATGGAGGTGTATGCATAGATAGGTCTATGAAAACTCGGATGAGGATAAAAGGTGAATCTGATAGTGGAATCAAAGAAAACTATAGGAAGTGACACTTGTACCAAACCTTTAATAATTGATAAGAATTTATAAAGCAGAGAATGAGAAGTATGTTTTGAGAACATGCAAAATCATGAGAAAAAGGAATAGAGAAAATAGGCCCAAGGTACATTCAGAAGTAGAGTACTTATTGTTAGGGGTAGAAGATTTGAGTTTGCTTCAAAAAGGAGTTTATGGCAAGCATTTCCATAAATGAGAACTTGGCTGATTTTAAGAAAGCACTGGGATAATTGGGTACATGCTACAGATATGTCTTAGTCTCTTTGACATAGCAAGGTAAATAATGTGAGACAGGGTAAGAGAGCCAATTAGAAGTAGATTTTAATAATTCAGAACATGGTGATAATAGCATAGTGTATATAGTAGTAGCAATAGGGTTAGTGAGGAATACCCAGGTAGTATTTATGATATAGATTGGACAGAATATGGTAACAAATTAAGTTTAAAAGAGTCAAAATAGGTAGGTAATCTCTACCCAATGTAGAGAAAATTACAAAATCACTAACAAAACTGGGTGAAGTTAAGGGAACTGACCATCTTTCTTTGGGTGGTATATAGAATGAAAAGGGCAATCAGATGTTCATCAGGTAGTTCAGAGTAACCAGAGCAAAATCATCAGTATCTAATGTCACTGAAGCTAAGTGGAAAGAAAGTCTAAAAAAGAAAAAGGAGATATTCCACATATGAGTGAAAGCATGTGATACTTCTTTCTCTAACTGCTTATTTCACTTAGCATGATACTCTCCAGGTCCCTTCATGCTGTCTAAAAGGATAAGAGATCCTTCTTTTTTATTGCTGCATAGTATTCCATAGTATAAATGCACCATCACTTTTTTAGTCACTCATTTATTGATGAGCACTTAAGCCCAAGGTGCTTTCGAAGGCTTCAGAGAATGCTTCCTGACCAAGATCATGTGCCATTAGTAGGTGAGGCCCAGCACACAGTAGAGGTTTGGATGGTGGGTGGAGTGGGAGAGCTGTGTAAACAGATGGAACAGCATGAGAAAGTGTTGAGAGATAGTGTAACCAGACAATCCAAAGGTCTGGACTGCCTATCACTACTTGAGCCAATTCAGCAGAGACATGGGGTGAATCATATATTAACATTTATTCCAATACTGCCAACAGTATGGGAGAGCAGTAGGTCATCCACCAAAATCTGCTCTGAAGCCCTACCATCTGCTTAGGACTGATAAAACAAAGATTACACTGGGAAGTAGGAATTATAGGCCTAGGGAAGTAGGGATTACAAGCACCAGGAAGTAGAAGGCTGGGGTGGGACTGCATTGTTTGAGTAACAAGGCTATTAATCTTTTCAGGATAATAGGCCATTTTTGAATGAGAATGAGCCACATTCCAAAATTGACTCCCAGTCAAGATTGACTCCTAATCTTGGAGGCATAAAACTCCCAGCTAGGTCAGAATATCCTTTCTTTAACCAATAAAAAGCAATCACGGTTAACAGAGCATGATTAATATTTCCCATAACCATAGCTAGTTCCCAGTATTCTATTTTTTTTTTTTCTGCCCCTAATAATAGCAGTAGCCTCTGTCTTTCTGTTGATCTATTGGCCTGCCTTTAATCTTCCTACACAGATTTCTTCCTAGGGTTGTGGTGTCTCTGGCTCTCAAAATCCTGGGAGAGGAAAGATGATTTAACTCCTTCAATAGCTGATTATATATATGTTTCCCCGAAAATAAGACATCCTCTGAAAATAAGACCTAGCACATGGAAAGATAAGACATCCTCTGAAAATAAGACCTAGCGCAACTTTGGGAGAAAAAATTAATATAAGACACTGTCTTATTTTCAGGGAAACAGGGTATATATATATATATATATATGTGTGTGTTCTCTACATTCTCATTAATGCATATATATATGCATTAATGAGAATGTAGAGAAATTGGATATTGGATCCCTGGTACACTGCTGGTAGGAATGTAAAATAGTGGGGCCACATTGGAAAATGTTTTGGCAGTTCCTCAACATGTTAAAGCATAGAGTAATCATATGACCCAAAATTTTCACTTCTAGGTACATATCCAAGAGAAATGGAAACATGGTCACACAAAATGCTGTACATAATATTCATAGCAGTGTTATTCAGAAGATCTCCAAACTGGGAACAACCCAAACATTCATCAACTGATGAAAGGGTAAACAAAATGTGGTATACCCACACAGTAGAACATTATTCGCCAATATAAAAGAAACAAAATACCAAGATATAACACACAAACACGAAACTTTAAAATGTTTTGCTAAGTGAAAGAAGCCAGTCGCAAAAGACCAGATATTAAGTAAGACTGCATTTATGTGAAATATCCCTGGAGGCATATCAAGACAGAACACAGATTAGTGGCTGCCTGGGGCAAGGGCTAGGGTGGGATGACAGGGAGGGAGCACTGAGAAAGGGAGGTGAAAGTTAATAGGATTGGGTATCTCCTTGGGCAGGAAGGTGCCAGCTTAAAAGCCGGGCTGCAGAGGTTGATGCGACAGTTGGCTGTTACTGGTCCAGGCATGGAGGAGTGTGCTTGCCTCTGCTGCGCGGGCCTTTCGCAGGGATGCCAGTGTCGCCAGCACCACCCAGGACCAGGTGAGATGGCAGCAGCCGACAGCAAGCCGGCCCCGGCCCCGGCCCCTGAAAAGCAGCACGTGGCTGCGAACACCAAGGTGGCTGGGTCCTCTGCGGGCAGTGGAGGGACCAGGAACCCCATGCTACCCATCCTGCCCCCGCGCTGCTGCTCGCTGCAGGACCTGCCTCCGGAGCTGCTGGTGGAGATCTTCGCCTCGCTCCCGGGCACCGACTTGCCTAGCGTGGCCCAGACCTGCACCAGATTCCACCGCATCCTGCACGTGGACAGCATCTGGAGACGGCGCTGCCGGGAGGAGTACGGCTGTGGTGGAAACTTGCCGAACCTGGAGACGATGGGTGTGTCTTGTCGAGAACTCTATGCGAAGCTGCTCCACCCTTACAGACACATTTTGGGATTGTGGCAGCCAGATAACCAGCCCTACGGAGGACTGCTGGGGGTAGCGGTGCACGGAGTGTGCATCTTTGGTTGGACGTACCTGCCTCTCCATGACCCCTATGGGTATGACTCGATGAAATTCAAGCCTGCGTTTAGGATTAGCCTGACGGAGAGTAAGCGGGCCGTGGTGGAGTGCCTGCAGGGCCGCATAGGGCCCCACGGCTGCCGCTACCAGATTCGGAAGGACGGGTTCTCCACCCACTGCCACCAACCGGGCCACCACAGGATATCTGGCTGGAGCACCCAGGAATTAGAAACGTGGCTGAAGAAAGAATGGGGGCGGGCGATGCAGGACATTCTCCAGAATGACAGGCTGTGCTTCGTCCTGAATCAGTCCATCTGCGGTCGGCTTAACAACTGGGCTTACCGCCGCATCTACCTCCCGCCGAGCCAGCCGGGCGACCTCATCAGGCCAGGCCTCTTCCAGGGCACCCACGATGTCTATAGCCCAGAGGTCGTCCTGCTCAGCTTCCACGGGAAGCATGCCAGGGTCACGAAGATCACGGGTGACTACCAAGTCCCCGCTGGGCAGCAGGTGCTAGAGATCCACCTCGGGCGCCGCATCCGGCTGCCCCATTACTTCAGTGAGTGCTCCCGCCTGATTCAGGAGGTTCACTGGCAGATGATCCAGGAGCAGCAGCAGAGAGAAGACTGGACCGAAGATGGCGAGGGCCATGGCTGGCTGAGCCCTGCGCAGCCCAGTGTCGGGGAGTCCCCGGCTGCAGCTTTGGCAGAGCAGCCCATGCAGTTTGTTTTGCCTGAGGGCACGAGCTCAAGAATCCAGAACTACCCCCGAACCTACAGGATGTGTTTCTACGGCTTCGCCTACATGCAGCGCATCCCCGGAGTCTTCGTCCTGTTCGATGAGGACCACTTCGGGTTCATCTGGCTGTACCCCAATTGCCTCAGCCTGTACAGCAGAGTCCAGACCACCTTCCCGAATGCGGAGGCACCATCCCCACAGGCCTTCCAGGAGATGCTCGAGAACATTCAGTTCCTATCCCCTGCCCTCAGGACACCTTGGGGAGAAGAGGCTTCAGAGGAAGTGTAGCTTGCAAGCACTTTGGAGATTTGACCTTCTGACCAGATTATCCACCTTCTTGTTTGTTTTTAATCCTGATCGAGGGTATTTTTCCATTGATTGTTGGAGAGTGGAAGAGAGGGACCATTGGTTGCTTCCTGCATGACCCCTGACCAGGGCAGGGGCTGGGTAGGAGCCTGAAACTGAGGTAGAATCAAACCCTAGACCTTTCAATCTGCAGGCTCAGGTTCTATCCACTGAGCCAAATCAGCTAGGGCTGAGCATGTCTTTGTAAAAAGAAAGAAAAAGAAAAGATCCTAAAATTAGATAGTGGTAATTGCTGTATTGTTACAACTCTGAACATAATAAAAACCACTGAATTGTACATTTTAAAAGGTTGAATTTTATAGTATGTGAATTATATCTCAATAAAGCTGTTATTAAAAATAAAAGAAAAAGGATGCACAGTGTTATTTCAAATAATGTCAAGAGAACAAGTTTGATCTATACTAATAGCCTGGATGGTGGCTCACTCTCATGTTATCACAAAAGGGCCGTACACACAGTAGAGGCTGGGCCTGATGGCTGCTCTACACAGTCAGGCATGGTGGGTTCCAGGGCTCTGCATGGGGAGGCATGGAAATTGGTCCTGGAGTCTCCTCCATGAGGAAGTGGGTCCTGGTAGAGGAGGCAGGTCAAATCAGGGGAAGGCAATTGTGGGAGATCAGGCTGGCAGGGGAGTAATTAGGGGGCAATCACACTGGCAGGCAGAAGAAGTTAGGGGCAATAAGGCAGGCAAGCCATTAGGAGCCATTGATTCGGATTGTGAGAGGGATGTCCCAATGCCAGCAATCAGACATCCTTCAAGGGGTCCAGATTGGAGAGGATGCAGGCCGAGCTGAGGGAAATATTCACTACCTGTGCATGAATATCGTGTACCGGCCTCTAGTCTATGATAAAGTAGAAATACATCCGAGGGAAATTAAATTATTAATAGAT